CAATTCGTTAGGTCACCATTCTACTTGATGGACACTCAAATTTGAGTTTAATATTTCAACTCTTAAATTCCTTAACGTATGTTTTCATTATTATAATTTTTTTCTTTAAATTGTAGTTTTTTTCATGGAAAATACAAAATAAAAAAAAAACTAATTTGAATTGTCGGTTTTTTTTTTGGTATGAAAACGGGAATTTCGGGAATATTCCCAATTTTAGAACCCCTATGATTGACCATCGTCAAGACAATAAGACATCGTCAAGACAATAAGAAATCGTCAAGACAATAAGAAATCGTCAAGACAATTCTTCTGTAGTTTGACAGTTAAAAAAGTCTATTTAAATCCAATTTGTATCAAATATTCATACTATGTGCTTACTTGTGTGTGAACGATGAGTAATTGTTCAAATGTGAAGAAAATAACACAACATATGAAATGTTTTATGATGGCTATTAGTGCTGATCCTTAAAGAACCTAAAATAAATTTAATTCTTAATTAAGATTTGCTGTTTAAATTAAAGTTTCATGATATCAAATTCACTTTCTCTGTTGGAAATTAGTCAGAAAAACTTTCAAAAAGGCTCACGTAAAGCCTACGTTACGTAAAATGATTAAGTAAAATCACATAACATTAAGTACTATGTTCCGTTCGCTCTTTCTCGATGTAAGTTAAAGATGGAAGTCGATGGACAGGTAAGAGAGAAGCTGATGCAAGATGAAGGAGGGATTAAACTGAGAAAGCAAATTTTTTGATGGTTCTTCTTTCATAGTTAATCATATCAACTTTAATTTCAACCAAGGAAATGAATCAATCGTGTTTTCATTCCATTACTGCTCACATTTCAGGCTTTGAATCAGAACAGTCCGAGATAGAGGCAAAAACGTTCTTTACCACACACCTGAGCATGAAAAAGAACCACAATTTAGGGTTAGGGTTAGACGCTTGTAATTAAGCTTCTATTGATTACTACCCAAATCATCAGAGGCTCATTTTTCACATTAAACTACACGATACGTCATTGGACCTGATGTAAGTCTAATGCTGTGTGTGAGAACAGGCATCTAGACAAAAAATTGCAAGTCTCTTTTACGAGCAAGCAATCAATGTCCTTGATGCCACTCTACATCAAGGATGAACCAATCAGTAGCCACGATAGTAAGTCTCACAGGCAGAAACACATGACTCATAGGCTCGATTTACAAAAAAAAGCAAGAACAGAAAAACTTTTTAAAAAAAGGGTCAAAAGACTTTGCTCCCTCAAGTTTTACCCCTCTTCATCTTGCATCGACCCCCCTCTGACCTATTCAACGACTCCCACTCTTAATTTACATCAACAAAGGCCGACGAAATGTAAAACTCAATGCAATGCGTTTTTAAGTAATCATTTCACGTATTGCAAGCATTACGTACGCAATTGTAGGAAGTCAAATGGCTGGTTTCATTAAAGAAAAGGAATTTGAGGACTATTTATCAGAGATCGAAGCCGATTTTTTCGGCTTAACTCAATTTTTGATTTTTTTGATAGAAAAAAACCATTTGACACCCATTTCAAGTATTTAAATTGAACTTTACATGCTTTACTATGATTCTGTGTAATATTTTGTCAGCATGTAGCTATAGTGAGCTTAGAATTTCAATTTAGCCGATTTTAAGACGAAATTTAAGCCGATCGGCTTAAAATCGGCTAAGTTGAAATTCTTAGCTCACTATAGCTACATGCTGACAAAATATTACACAGAATCATAGTAAAGCATGTAAAGTTCAATTTAAATACTTGAAATGGGTGTCAAATGGCTTTTTTCTATCAAAAAAATCAAAAATTGAGTTAAGCCGAAAAAATCGGCTTCGATCTCTGCTATTTATTAGTATACTTAGCTTTTTCTTCGTTGTCACTAGCCTCTTTCTTCTTTAATTGTGTCCTGGTTCCTTCAAGCTTCAGCAATCTCATTTTCACTTCAATTTTACAGCTTCTTGAATTTAATTTTCTTAACTTTCAATGTTCACTCAGAAAATTTTTCATTTTTTTCTTCACTTTTAATTTTTTCATCACTTTTGGCTTATTTTCACTGTTGCTTCCATTTTAGCACTTCACTATCACTTTTATCTTGAACTCCACTTCTTTTTAAGCATTAATAATGTCAAGTTCCAATTTATTTGCACCGATTTGCAACAATATTTAAAAACACGTCTTTAAAGAATTAAACTGAAGAAAATTGTGAGAAAATTGAAAGTCAAAGGTTGCTGAGAAATTTGACCTTTTTTGACTGATTGTATATATAGTATTAATTCAAAATTTTAAAAGCTTTTTATTTAGGTTTTTAAATTAAATTTAAATTCTATTTGATTTGATTGTCAAATTGATTCTTTTGACAATAATTTCCGTTTGAAATTTAATTCTTTTTGGTTTTAGAACAATTCTTAAAGTACGATTTTAACTGGTCTAGCAATCTAGTGCGATTTTTTGAGACAATATTATTGGAGATTGAAAAGTTACGTTCAGCTCTTGTAGATGTTGGTGGATTCCAGAAATATTAATTTCCAGCACGTTTTTTTATTTTGGAAAAATTACTTTAATCCAATGTCAATTAAGTTTATTATTTTATGGACATCATACATTTAAAAAATATTTTTAAATACTTTTTCTCTTCGTTTTTCATAAATATATGTTTTTGATTTAAAAAACATCAAATTTGGTGTCCATCAAGTAGAACGGTTAGGCTAGATAAAAATATTTCGTTTATTTTATTTGATTAAGAAACATTTGCACAAATTACTGACCAAGTTTAAACAATTTTCGTTAAGCCTTGTCAGATTTACAGTCAAAAGTGTTAAAAGTAAAAAATCGGCCCTAGCTCCGTTTTCAGATGCTCATATCTCAGAACTGGCAACTTCACAAAATTTAAAAAAGTTATTTTTCTGCTTTCACAAAATAGCACAAAAAACCCATATATCCACTCAATTCGTTAGGTCACCGTTCTACTTGATGGACACTCGAATTTGAGTTTAATATTTCAACTCTTAAATTCCTTAACGTATGTTTTCATTATTATAATTTTTTTCTTTAAATTGTAGTTTTTTTCATGGAAAATACAAAATAAAAAAAAACTAATTTGAATTGTCGGTTTTTTTTTTGGTATGAAAACGGGAATTCCCGGGAATATTCCCGATTTTAGAACCCCTATTTTATATGCAGAAAGAAATGACTTTTTCTCCTTGCATGAACTAGATAGAAATTTTCTTTAGTATGGCAATTACCATCAACCTTATGGTATGGTTATGTGCATTACATATTCGCTATGTTGATTACGTAAGATAATATAAGAACGTTGAAAGACTGTGAAAGGAGAAAAGTCATGAATATTTTAACATAAATGAAATATCTTCAAAATTTATTTTCTTCTAATAAAATAAACAGACATTAATCTAGGCAAGAAGAAGGCAGTTAAAGCCTTTTAAACGCATGAAAAATTTTATTTATTTATTATACATCTACATCTAGTTATATATTTTCTTAAATAAAATGTTTATGTCAAAATTTTCACTGACACGATGTCATAAATGAAGTCATTATTCTCGTACATAATTTTCATGAACTGTCATTCATAATAACATTAAAATCAGCAGTATCAGTAACTTTACAGCACAAAGAGCAAAAATGAGAGATTATATCGTTAGACTAGAAATTTAATTTTCTCCACATGAAATCTCACTGAATTTGCTTATGAAGCACTAGGAGACAGGAATGATATTAAATCATCCATGCGCTTGAATATATTTAATTTTATGCTAGAAAACGGAAGTGCTTAATGGAAGAAAATTCGATTTTCTTAAGTTTTTTATAGACCTGGATGTTATTCGATGATGTAATTTAGATTAGATTGATTAATGTGCTTCCCGAGTGACACACTGTTGCAGTATATTCTGCTCAAAAGATTGCTGTGAGAGAGCTTGAGTCAATTCTTATCTGATAATAACAACTGATATTCACTAAGTTTATAAGACCTCAAAAATCAACTAGTTTCACTTTCCATCAACCCACATGCTTACATTTCATATCAATAACCGAATCACTTTTCAAGAATATGCATCATACAAGTCCCATATGTCTCAATGTCGAATAATTTCCTTCGTGGTATATCCAAATGAGAATAAATCCCTCAGAAACTAAGTTCATTGAACCAAAATTATCCACGGTCATGCAAAATTACGTCAACCCACATCTAAACTCTCAAACAATTTACAATTTACTGTAAAGGAAATATTCAAATAATTTTATGGGGCTTTTGACAAATCCATCTCAATTTACTCACGAGATTCTGTGCATTACGCAACTTTAAAAATCTCTGCTCGTAAATCTCGCACACATCAGCAACAAAGTGAAAAGAAGGCACGAGCTGCGAGTTGATTTTAATGTTTGTGTGATTCATAATGTCGTTCAAAGAAATACTGCTTAAGTTCCATTGAATAATGTAAACATTTTAGCAAGTGAAGAGAGAAGCAAAATTGTGTCACGATTTATTTTTAACAACAATTTTTTTTTAAGAATTTTCCTTAGGGGCCATTCACTTATTACGTAACGCTTTTAGGGGGAGGGGGGGGGTCTAAGATTTTGTTACGGTTCAAACAAGGAAATTTTTTTTTTCATACAAATTTTGTTACGAGGGGGGGGGGGGGTCTAAGAAGTCATTTTTTCGCGTTACGTAATAAGCGAACAGCCCCTTATGTGTATGAATAAACATGCTATATACAAGAAAATCCGCGTATATGCGTTGTCTGTTTACGAGACCTGTCGCTTATCTTATCACGCAACATTACTGTTATTTTATCTTATCAACTATTTCAGATATGAATTTCACAGAAGTTACCTATGTGAGTGAGACAATTTGTACAGTAAAAGGTCGCTAATCGGAATTTAAAGTAATATAAAATGATAATTCCTTATCTTATCTTTAACATATACATGAGCATGTAATAAATTTTTCATATAATTTCAACAAGCAAGTGCTCGAGTTTTACATCATTTACTATTCGAAAGTCGACTCAGAAAGAATAAAAAAACTTAGTTCTGCAATTAATCTAAATAGTTCTGCAGAGAAGAATAAAGAAATTTACAATTTCCTGCAGCAAAGAGGATAACAAGAAAGATTCATAATGGTGTCAATTGAAACAATTGCGACAATATTTGTCAAAGTTTTCAAGCTGGTAAGTGATGTGGAAAAATTGTGAATAAAAGCTATAGAAAAGTGGCAGTGATGGCAAGTTCCAACATGCAGATGAAGTTTGTATGTTGCAATAAAATGCATTAAATTTTAAAAGTTAAAGGATTATTTGGGTTATTGAAAGTTCAAAATTTTGTAAAGCCAAGTGAAAATTTCATACATGCTGACTAATTTTATCCAATGCTGACTATTTCCAAATTATATCGAAAAGTTAATCAACCCAACCTTAAAGTCAAAAGACAATCTAAGCCATAAAGCTCAAAGTTCAAAAATATATGCTTTCAAGAGATATAATGCTTCTCTTCTTGCTTTATAATATAAACATCAAAGGAAGCTCATGAAGAAAAGGATGAATTATTATATCCTTTCAAGCTTTAAAGGTAGAAAACTTCTTGAATATTTTATGAAATATAATGAAAGCGAAAAAAAAAGCTTGAGTGACTTCATATCATGAACTAGGTGTGGTTACGATAAGAGAAAATTTCAACAGAAACCAAAAATGTCGTACACAATTTTTTTTGCACGTGTATTAGTAAGAGATAATTAGTCATTCAATGATTAATGATGATAATATTTCTTTTAGGTCCTAAATATCATTGTTTTGATCATTTATCGATTTGGCTATGGAGGTGACTTTTTGGGTGTTGGTGGAACGTGGAATTTAAATGAAGAGAAGTCTGCTGATGCAGAGATCATCGCATCTGGCGTTTACGTTGGTTTCTTGATCTACACATCTGTTCAGCTGTTCACATATCTTTTTGGAACAACAAAACATAAGCGAGAACTTTCAGACACAATCATGAATGTCGTTGGTACACTTTTATGGTTGGGTGTTGCTGGAACAGCACTTCATTATTGGCACGGATATCAAGCACCTCACGATTTTGCAAATTTGGCATCAGAACGAATGGTGAGATTGGCAATTTCTTTTATTTATTTTTTAATTTTTCTATTTAACCTTCCTTAAATTCTAGATGGGTCTGATTATGGGATACTTGACACTCCTCGTCGCTGCCCTTTATCTTGCCGATTCAGTATTAGCATTTGTTCATTATGCTAAACATGAGAATAGCAAATACTAAGCTCAGAAGGAGGCAGCTACTATTTAAGATTACAAATATTCATGGATTATTTTTAAATTAGAAATCGCATCACTTTTTACATTTGACATTAGTTTAAGGAAATCTTTTTTTTCGGATGATTCAAAATTATCCAACACACACACAAACATGCAGCAGTAGAAATAATTACTTTTATCATTTAAGGTTATATAGGGAATGTACAATGTGCCAAAAACATTCAATAAGTTAGGAATAAAAAGCCAACAACCAAAAAAATCGAGTATTTTTGAATTTTTTCAATTCCATTAGAATTTAACAGCTTTGACGCGTTCACGAATGACTATAAATTTTAGTGTCTAATGAAAACGATGATTCATCCAATAACTGTTGAGATAATGCCATTAAGTAGATAGCTAGAGATATGACTAATAAAATTTATAGTGAACTTGCTAATGAATTATATTTCGAATTATATTTCGAAGCATTTTCCCTCTAAGCTTTAAACTGTTATTACTGCGGAATATAAATTTTAAAGTGTGCAAAGTAAAATGTGCAGCATCGTAAATGCCAAAGGATGGAAGTAGAAAATGAGATACAATTTTGAAGTAAACGAGAAACTTTTTTTTTCTCATCTTGTGTAAATGAGAATTGTGTTACTAGGAAGGTAGATGCTTTGAAAATGGCATTGAGTGGCAGTAAAAATTGAAGATTTTGTATTGTGCATGAAATTTTGAGATCTTAAGGATATCACATGCAAGTTTTAAGCGTGAAATGTTTAACATTGTTTGCATGATTTTAGATTTGTTCAAAATTTTATAGCAAAACTAGGTTTTTACTAGAAATGCCATCTAAATAGGTGACCCTAGAGGTTAAAGCAGTGTTGTCCAAACTGTGTGCCGTAGGTCATCCTTAGGTGTGCCGTGGAAAAATATTAAAAATACAAAAAATAGGTGTGCCGTGAAAAAATAACTAAAGTCAAAGCGTTCCGTGGCTGAATAAAGTTTGGGCAACACTGGGTTAAAGCAACAATAAATGCTAATTTTCATCACTTGCATCAGACACTTGTCCAAAAGTTTTAATGACTTCAGAGAAATACCAAACATTTAAACTAAATTATAAAATTCAAAGTTGAACAGAAAATATATTTTTTCTTCTATCATAAAAGCCCAGTAAATGGAATTTCTCGTACAAACCTTATCAATAATTCCCACCAAAACTTCCATAGACATTATCATAAAAATTTTATCAAACAAACTTGTAAGGTACAAAAAATATGAACATAAATTTTCAACAAGTGAAACGAGACCAACACTTGTAAGAGTTGAGCATTTCACAATGTTTTTTGGCACGAACTATGTGCATTTCTAGTATTAGTAAAACTTTTAACAGATGTATGGTATCTAGATAAATATTTACTTTAGGATAAGGCAGAAGTTTTTTGTATTACACAAAGCTATAGTTATTCTTATAGGAAATGAATTTATTTTATAAGGTTCGGATGGTTATATTGAGGTAGGTTTGGGTATAAATAAAGTAGACCCTAGGAGAAGCCAATTGTTGATTTAATATTCAAATCCAAATAAATGCAAACCTTGAAGATTTTTAACAATTCAGTATTCCTGAATTAATGTTTCAACATTTAAAATTGTCATACACAAAGTTGTATTGAGTTGAATTTAATAAAATATTTATAGAATGACAGATTCTGACAGGTGAATGCAAAATAAATAAAAAAAAAGTTTCTTATTTGTTCACTCACCATTATAAGATCCCCATATGTATCATTCAGATTTTTATTACTTTGAAAGTTCTCGCATGACTGAGTTTTACGTGTGACTACCATCTTATGGATGTCCATCGTTGACATTCTTTCGTTTTGCTTCTGTAGACTTGACATGCTAGATTTTACAGGTGAATCATTTTCGTCGTTGCTGATTGTGAGTAAAGGAAGAAGAATTAGAAGAAGTGACAACTGATGATGAGTTTTAAGGATAGAAAAGCCGCTGCTTTAATGAAAATGTCTGAGTTTACTGTTTAATGCTTTTGGTAATTTCTTCCTGATCTTTTTTAAAGCTCACGTAGTTAAAATATTTTTATTGTAAAATCAATGCAAACTATGAAATTTTTCAGATACCCTCGAATCTACAACAATCACGATATCTGATAGCCTTAAACATTACCCTTTAGCAGTCAGGAAGAAGACAGAGATTAAATTTACTTAACAAGCTTAAATCTCTTCTCCTTATTTTCACTTACGAAATTAGATTTAAGTTTTCTTGCGGTGAATTCTTCTCAAGTGAAAGCCATTCAATTGGATCATTGTGCTCATCTAACACCTGACTCCATCTGTGTGAATCGAGATTGATAGAGCTTAACAATTTCAGTTTATTGCTGTCAATACTCTGACGGTAAAGGTTCTTTTCACGATCCAAATTCTTGTTGAAGTCACCCACACTCGACACTTTTGTCATGCGACGCCTCAAAACCACTGAATTATTAATACCATTTCCATTGTCATACGATTGTGTCGTGTCTTGATGAGATGATTTTGTAATTTTATTATCATCATTCCTTGCCATATTCTTACGATGCAGACGCTTGAGCATCTTGTCAATTTGAACTTCGTATCGATTAAACTTGTCATAATCAACAAATGATAGATCTAAATGGACATAAAAATACAAAAATAAATTTGTTTCAGGTTAGACATATCACATTGAGGAATATGTTCTAATTTAATGGACTATAAAGATTGCTGTCATGTATTCTTGGAAGTTGAACATGTTAGATTATTGAAAGGTTCTTAAAATGGATCTAATGGATTTGTGGTAGGTTGATTGAGCATTTAATAATGACATGTATATTCTTTTGTGTTGCTGTTTCTTCTTTTCTATTTTTATTGTCAATTTATTTGAGTTGTGATTTAAACTTGAGAAGTTTCAAGAGATTCGTACGATTGTCTGCTTTAATATAATTCTAATACAACTTGAAATCCCCCAATGATGAAACCTTTAAACTTTATTACCCGAAAACAAATTTGAGCCGAATCAGTACGTTGGAACCTCCAAACAATGTAGAACACATTTTCTGAACAAATTATTATTATTATTAGCATCTAATAATTCATTAAAACACGAGTTAATGTAACGTAAACTGTATTAATCAACAAATCAAGCGGCAAACGATTACGAAAATTATTTCAAACATTTGATTCACATGTGTTAGATGTTTGCGACTTGCTGAAATGAAACATTCGAGTAAGTACACGACAAATATTAAATTTTGTCACGATTTTTTTGATGAAACTATTAAGCTTTATGAAATTGAAATATTAGTGACGTATTTATTTTTAAAAACATTTAAGCACCAAAAAATTTGGTAGTGTTGACTAGGCTGTTGACCTTTCTCAATGATATTTTTTGTTTGATTAAACTTTTGAGAGGTTTCTACTTATAATTATCAAGCTGCTTAAAATACACATTTCGTAAGAAATTCGCAATGCGTTCTGCTGAATTTTATTACCTAATTGCATTATATTTATCAGTCCATATTTATAAATGCTCAATGAATCACATTTATCTATCGATGGCCATAATTAGTTTGTTTGAAATCAATTTCCAACTCGTTGGGTTGCTCATTAATTTTGAGTTGGTTGAACAAAAAGTCTTTAATAGGCTTTGATAACATTTAGGCATTGAAAATGGCATTTGCTTCTTTCTTTGGGTAACTGACAAAGATTTTCGGGTGACCATCGTCAGTTTTGTTAAATAAGAAGTCAATTTTAAATTGATTTTTGATATTAGATGCCTTTCTATTGACACTTTTAATGCATGCTTAGGACTCAGTTTTGTTTTTGTAATTTTTCAACTTGCATTATAGGAAACGAGATGACAAAATCAAAATTTCTGAAAACTTTCAATTAAAAACTTTCTTATCTTTCCACTTGTTTCCAGCTGATTACATTATTTTGATTCATGGAAAGCAAATAATGGAAGCGATGAATTTTCAATAAATTCTATTGTTTTATTAATCATTCATCATTATGAAAATTATGTCATTCTGCCAATTTTATGACTTATTTTATAGACAGGAAATTTCAATGTAATAAAGTTATTGAAAAAGAAGCAATATATGGGTAAGTAAGTTCTCGTAAAATTTTGTTTGCTGCTATAAAGCACCTCTTCAATAGTATTTATTGGTTTAAGGCAAACATTGTGAAATATTTTTCTTTTTTCTTTGATAAGTTTAAGAAAACCGCAGTTTTAAAATGACCAATTCTTTAAATTTTAATGACAATGATATCACAAGAATTATTGGTCTGCTCGGAATAATGACTAATAACTGTCAAAGATGATTCACAAAAGGGGCCGTTCACTTATTACGTTCGCATTTTAGGGGGGGGGGGGGGGGTTGAAAAATTGTAACAAAATGTAACATAGGGGGGTGAGGGAGGGTGGAGGTGTCAAGAAGTATGAAACGTTCTAACTGTCGTCTGTCTTTTAAAAAAAAGTTCACGAAAAAAAATACTACAAATTAACATCAAAAACATTTTTAATTAAATTATGAACGTTCAGGGGGGGGGGGGGTTGTGTGTTGTAACATATTGTAACAAGTGGGGGGAGGGGTGGTGAAAAAAGTCGTTTGTTTGCGCAACGTAATAAGTGAACGGCCCCAAACTCAATCAAAACAACTTTAATTCAACGTCAAAATGCAAAAAATAAACGCAATTTAATTTAAAATCCATCAATCACTAGATTTTTATCAAGTTTTTATCCGTAAATTCTGTAGCAATCCGACTTTCTAGGAATAAATATTTTAGCTTTTGTATACCAAAATGTCACAATAATCAAAAGAATTCCTGATTCAAACAGAAAACTAATCTTATGGATTCCTTAAACTTAAATAATCAAGAATGAATCACAAAATCCCAATATGTCTGCGATATAATTTCTTTATTTAATAAAATGACAGGTAATGAAATCTTCCGCATGGTCGCAGAAACAAAATGCCGTATTTGTTGATGCAGAAAATACTTTTTAGGTTGTATGACTGAAGAGTAAGGAAGTGAAATAATATTTATGGACCTTGAACGATTTTTTTCTCTATTGAAGCCATTTTAACGAGGAAGTGACTTTCATTCAAAACTTTCAAAGATGCAGTCCTCATAATTGGATCTCCATCAACCAGTACCACAATCATTTATTTATCAAAAACTTTTCAATTCAACAAAAAAAGTGAATCTGATTGACAATTTCCTTTTCAACAACCTTCAATAACCATCAAAAAAGAACAAATAGACAAACAGAATCTACAATACCGTCAATCCATTGACAAAAAGCGCTAAAACTCAGCCATAAAATAAAATTTTCTTAACAGCTTATAAAAAGTTATTCGAAAGGCAAAAACTGCTCAAATCGAGTGAGTAATCGAATACAAAAGAAGAGTGCAAGCTTACCTTCATAGCTGACCATATTATCGATTTGTTGAAGATTTTGCAACGATACAGCCCAATTGGAATTCATTGTCGCGGGTGGCTTACTCTCATTGAAGCTAATTTTGCGTTTAATCAATGAGATAAAGCTATCAGAACGTTCCAGTTTCGGTGGTTTGAGGAAATCAACATTATCATAAGAACCGGCTGGCATTGACTGTCGAAACGTTGTCGGTGAACGTGAGCGTAATGTTACGGGACTAGGAGATTTTGGTGGTGTCGATGGCGTTCGCAATTTATCACTTTCACATATCTTTTCCTCACTTAATTTTTCTAATCGCGAATTCTCGAGAATACTTTTACGATAATTTTTCTTCAATTGAAATGAATTTAATGTTAAACTTCTTTGGAATTTAAATGGCGATGATCCATTCGGTATCGGTGTATCGATCGTTGTTGCTTCCTTAACAGTTCCTATTTTTGTAAGATTATCAATACTGTCACTTAACTTATTATAAATTTTTGATAATGTACGTTCAATAAAACTATTTGAGCGTTCGAGTTTCTTTGTTGTTGGTTCCTCAGACTTTTTTGTCGTTGGCACATCAACAACTGGTGCCTTTTTTGTCGATGGAATTTCACTAACATCTTTCTTAACATTATTATTTATACTGATTTTATTATTATTATTATTATTGTTTGCCTTGATGCTGCTACTTTTTGTTTCATTTACTTTTGTATTTTGATTTTGTGGATGTTGCTTCACCTTTTTCTTTGGTACGGGCTTTGCTGTGTTCTTACGAGAATTTTTACCACTTGTATTCATTTTTGCACAATACACACAATTACATTAGGCTATCATTAATCTAGATACACAAGAATATTTTTTTTATTAACGTACGGATAGAATGTTCATGTATTATTTATTGTGGATTATCAAACTTGAAAATCTGTATTATTTTTTTTTTATTCTTGACATTTTTAAAATGTTTCACATTTTTTTAAACTATTTTGGCAGTGATTTTTATCTATTAAGATTTAGCATGCTGTTTCCTATTATGCTGCTTGTTATTATTGTTTAAACAATTATGAAAGATTCTTGAAAAATATTATACTTTATTTTAATGAAATGTAAGCCAATCGGTCAAATTAAACTTGCATTCTATGGACAATAATAAATTCGAGAGTCGAAAATTTCCAAAGAAGTAAAGAATAGCTCATTGATTTCATATAAACGATGACTAAAAATACAATAACAACAATAACATGAACAATAATATCAAATGTGTGTTCAAATTCTCTCTTTTCATCTTTTTTTTCACTTTTTTTTCTTATTTTATTTTTAAACACATGACACTAATATGTATGTAGAGATTCCAATCGTCATGTCTCGGAAAAACTTTATTACTTTTGAAATATGGAAATTTATTGCTTTAAAGTGCTATTAAAGTGGAATTGACAACGCTGATAAGATTATTTACATTCTAGACTTGCGAACTTAACGGCAGTTTATAATTTACAAATATTGTTCAACTGCGTGGCTTTCATGTACGCAAAATGAAAATACAGACTGCTAAAATCTCTCCTAATCTTATATTGTAAGTTAATGACATAACAGAAACAAAATTATCATTGCTTCATCTCTTGTTTAATTATCTTTAAACGAAATCAATGTTTGCACACGAGTGCTGATCAGATACGATAATTAGGGATTCTGGTTTCTAGTCAAAGATTTTTATTTTTGATAATATATTACAAATTGATCTAGCTGTAAGTAGAAATTATTTAAATTGACTGTGGAACTAAGCATAGCAGAATTAAACTGCCAATGCCATTGATCTAAAAAGCAATAAACACTTTACATCACTTTTAATTCGCTTTTTTACGACGATTCGCTTGTCTCAGAAATCATAAATGACAATTTTCACAGGTCATTGAAAAACGTAATATAGAAACGTCCTGAATCGGGATTTATTAATAGATTTGTTGATATCTGTGATTAATGGTATCTTAGATTAAACAAGGTCGGTTTTTCTTGCAAAATCGTGTTTTTAAGGGAAATCATGAGTCAAGTGAGGAAGTAGTGTTCTGCAGTGTTGATTCAAATAAAATTGCAAAGGCAAAGGCTTGTGCCTTTGAATTCAAATTACCTACGCTTAGGTCCACCTTTGTAAAGTCAATTGCTAGATGTAACACTAGTGTTCTGAAATGCGTATGTGCATTCGAGAATATTTAAAACTAAGGACCCGACACTAGGGAAAGTCCCAAAATTTTGGTTCATTTATTGAACTGGTAAACAATAATATATCCTTAAGTAGGTCAAAGTCTATAAAATTATTGTTCTTGTTTTCATTAAACTTAAAAACTATTAGGATGAGAACTTGTCACAATAGTTATGATTTCCTTATTTATCTTGAATTGGTAAGTTTTTATCACAAAGTTTAACAACAACGGATATTTACACTACAATTGTAGGCATCCAAAAGTTAAGTATAGGTTTTCACAATCAGCATTTTTATCTAAGTATTTTTACTTCCTATTATATAAAGTTTGGAACAAAAATTTCAAGAATTTAAGTTTTATCTCGGTCATAATTCAATTAATTTAAAATGTCACAACATGCGCATTATAATTAAGTTTAAATCAACTAACCAAACTATTTAATATGTATTAATACATTTTAGTTAACCTAATGAATCACAATGAGTTTAGTCTGTTTTGTATCAAATGTATTATACTGCTTAATATTGCATCACATGGTCAAGTTTTTCCAAGCACAACTTTCCATAAATTTCTTTCGACACTTTTCCGAGATTTATTGGAACCTCTAGATATCCATAAATACACTACACACATGAATTGAGAAAGAAAAGAAGGGAAGTTTCTTTCGCGATACTCAGAACAAATAAATTTCACACAGTTCTTTACTTTTTACAGTCCGGCACTAAAATTTATTTTTTTTTTATTTTACTTCATTCCTTCAATCAGTCGACGAAAGAAAAAAAAATCCAACAGGTATGAATGCTCGAAGCAAGAAGAGGCAGAATTCTTATCAATCTTAATAACAAATACTGAGTAAATGAACAAAAAAACACTGAGGAAAAGGTCGTGAATGAGGAACGAGAATGTAAAATAAATTTATTTTAAGGTCTTTTTTGCTGTGATAAAAGAAACAAAATCGCGGCAGTATTGGTAAATCTACTCTCTTTATTTTCACGTTATCACTTCATACACTTGTATATCCAATTTTCTATTGTTTTCCGATTGAGTAAAAGATTTTTTTTTTTTTTGGTTCGCAATTTTATTATTTTGAATATTTTTGTGTGCCTCACTCGGAAGGAAAAAACACGTTGAATGAGTCAATCACTTTGAGAGAGAAAGAGAACTAGGCAGAAGATGAGAAACCACATACGATGAATAACTGAATGAATGTTCAAAGTGTTCGCTTTTGTCAGGGATGATGACATAAAGAATATATCTTATGACTTTATAAGATCAAAGTGTCGATTTTTCTTATTTCTTTATTATTGCAATTTTTTTTGCAACACACAAGAACGAAGTTGAATGCTCAACTAAACAGCTTACGGCACATACAGTTGTGAATATCTACACAATCATCTTGATTTCACATTGCAATTCAGCATGCATTCACGTTGAATTAATAATAATAATAATAATCAAGTTTCCACATTTGTAGATCGAAGACTGAGAATGTAGTTTTGTATGTTACAATGTGCATTGATGGAAAGCTTTATGAGTATGCGATCAACTCCTTGCCATATTCATACAAGCAATCATTTAGTTATCATATACAAATACATTCACACGTGATTGATATTCTCTCTTTTTTGTATCGAAAAAAGCAGCACAAAATGATGTCATTTTTATAGAAGTAGTTTCATGTGACACATGTGTGTATAAATAATATATGTGCTGAATGTTTTATTGCCTCTGTAAGCGAGAAACGCAACACACAAGTGCAAAATAAAGTCGATCGAGAATTATTATGAGATGTATTGTGATGCTAATAATTAAATATTATAATAAGTTGCACTATGAAGCTAATTTTGAGGCACAACTATATACTTAAGGATGTAAGAAAGAGAATTATCTGAAGAAATTAAATAGAGAATAACTTACAATTGAGTCCTGAAAATTATTAATACTGCAGCACACTAGGGATCAAACTTCTAACAGCTTTTAACGTCTTGTTTGAAAATATGATCTTGTATCTTACGTTGCATAGGTTTAAGGAGGACTGAGATTAAATGAACAATTTTCTTTGACTTTCTTAAAAATCATTTGCAGCATTTTTATTAATTATTAATTTTCATATTTACAATTTCTTATAGATTTAAAAGCAGACATCGAATAGAACTCTTTTGAATCAAATTCATTGTCCCTAATTAATCATCTTTTGAGGCCATTGTCATTATTTATTTAATTACTGTCATCTTAAGTTCAATTCAGTTCCATCTTTTTGGTTGTTGCCATTGCTGATGCGATTGCTTTTGCTGATTTTGATGAGATTGAGATTGCTGATGTTGCTGCTTTTGTGGTTGAGGTGTCCATCCTCCAAAATTATGAGTTGCTGGAGCTGGTTGAGTTCTGGCAATCAATTGTAATGACTTTTGAATTGCTTCTGGGATTGGTGGGCTTTAAAATGATTTTTTTTATTTTTTATGTTCTGTTAATTATAAAATTTCTGTTCTTACCTAGTTGGCAAATGTGCACCTTCAGCTCTGAATCCATATTCATCAGCTTGATATCTGACTTGGATTGGTTGACCTGAAATTTATTGATACCAAATTATAATCATCATTTTTTTCAAAGTTATCTAGCGTACCTTCGGGTGATGTATATGAATATGATCCTTGAACAACTTGTGTCTTTTGTTGTCCGAGATTCTTCAAGTATCCACTTTCGTCAGCCTTAATTCCATTTCCAGTAGAGTAGCTGTATTGATAGCTTCCATCTGGTGACATTTCATTCTTATAGGATGTGATTGGAATGACATTTCTATTAGACTGGAAGGATTGTTGTTGCTGGAAATGATGAGGTGGTTGTTGATGCTGTTGTGGCTTATTAAATTGTGAATGATGAGCTTGGTTTTGGTAATTCTGATAATGACCAGATTGAGATTGTTGCACATTTTGGTATTGTTGCTTGTTGAACTGATTATAGCTGAAATATGCACAACGGTTATTATGGAAATAATAGTTCACTGAAGATATTTGAATAAATGGCAAGAAGTGTAATCGACATTAAGGTTAATTCTTAAAATAATCTAGATTTGGCATTTATTAAGAAAAATAAATTCTTTCAATTAATGCTTGCACTCACTAGAACCTTTAAGTCTTGAGATTGCAAACATGAATTTTTTACATCGATTTGCCTCTTTTGGCTCACATTTTAATTTTACAACATTAAATGTTCATTAATTTAACTCAATAAAATGTTATTAATGAAATACTAACTTGCTATGCGATCCTGCCGCAATAGCGATCATCACTGATAACATCAAAAACTATAAAAAAATATGGAATAAAGTTTCAATTGAAATTGCACACCGACAATAAAAAAATTTGTTAATTCACTTTTATTACCACAAACATTTCTTCTATTTTTTTTTGCACACAATAAAAATTAAGGAGAGGATTAATAATGTTATATCTAAGATGATTGAAATGAGACTATCGACTTAGTTTTCGGCGATGTTGATATTTATACTGTTGTTAACTAAAGACTTAATGGAAATGGTTTTGATGCGTTTATTCATATTTTGATGTGTACTTACGAATATTTGTACGAAATAAATGAGCAACAACAATTCTTACTTATAATCGCAACAATTGCATATTTAATAAAGCAACATAATAAGGAGAAGAAGAATAAGAGGGCAATGCAAGAAATGAACACCAACAATTGAAGATGTTAATGGTAATTAATAAAAAATTATTAAGGTATGTCATTGCTCAACAGATATCATTTGGCGCATTTGAAATCAAATTTGTATGCTGAAGTTATTTCTTTTTGTAAAGATTGAAAAGGATTTGCTGATTCATTATTTCCTGGATCTTCTTTTGATTTCTTTAGAATTTTCAATTATTTAATACAGCAATAATGTAGCTAGCTCCATGATGGAATTTTTTTTAAGATTTTAAGTATTATTACCAGCATTGGTTTGATAATTCGATTACCAAAGAGTTGACAGTAAAATTCCAAAATAAGGACAAACTGCATCTCCCAATAAACATCTTCATATCCAAAAACACACCTCAATAAACAACATCATCTTCATCGTCCATAAATTCATTCTTGAAAATCTTCATTGTAAAATTTACATGCATCGTCACTCGGTCGAACAATAAGATATTCAAATTTACTGATCATCTCAAGAACCTTCATCCAGTAACCCACTTGTTAAATGAAATAAAATCATAACGCGAATCTTCTGTTCTTCCTCTTCTTGCACTTCTTATGTTCATTTTTTCAATGTTAAAAGCCTCAAAAAGAGTTCCAATCTCTCATTTTCATTATAAAAAATGAAAAAGTTGCAGAGAATGGAAATGAAAGATGCAAACAAAATCTGATGTGTGGAAGTGAAGAGTAAGTCACCCATGCTGTATAAATGTACTTGCATGTTACAACATTTTTTACAGTTTATGTAAATTGAGTAGCTGGAAATTAATGATAACAAAAAATTGAGTTGGCATTTGGTCGAAAGGGGAAATTGAGTTTTTGGAACTTAATGGATCAATTTTTCAATTCATTGAATGAGCTAGAGCATTCATAGTAACGAAATAATGGTTCCTTAATCAGAATCTAAGCAACATCTTATGCTATAAGCTATTAACAAATAAGTTAAACAAATCACCAAGTTATTCATAATCAGTACTAAGTAGCAAGTGCGTTGAAAGTTCATCAGCTTCATAAAGCTTTTTAACTTGCCACCTGATGATTGAGTTTCCGAATTCTGTTATTTTACTGACATGCTTTTTTTTTTGATTTCTTCTTTATGCCGCATTGAGTTTTACATTACCGAAATATTTTGTAATTAAAAAGCAACAAAAGAAGCAGAAGAGAATGTGTGAAGTTCAATTTTGATGATTATCTTCCACAACCTTTATTGTTAACATGGTAGACCTACAAAAGATGCCGGGATGTAATTCTTACCTTTACCTTTATTGAATTTGAAATGATTAAGTTGAAGGTCGACATGCAAAAGAATTTTTTCCCGTTGTATCAATTTTTGAGGCATAAAATTGCGTACTTTTTACAGCTTAATAACTTCATAAAGACTCCAATTTCATATTTTGTCGGTCATTGTTTTATTTTTCTTGACATTTTTCTTCCTTTCTAACAACAATCTCGCCAATTTATGAATTAAAAACTGCAACAATGAACCAAACTTTAAGATGCTCATGCTGCTGCATTGCCAAACGTTTTTTTTTCTCAAAATAGCCAGCGGCAAATTTTCAATTATTCACAAGAATCTATCATAACTTGAATTAAAAATACTTTTTCGTTTATGAAGATTGTGGGATGCAAGAAGATACAGAAGACGAAGAAAAAAGATTGAAGGAATTTTGCAACACAAAAAAAAATATCTCATAAATCTGAATGAGCCACCCAATAGTAGGGAAAGACAATGTGACTAGCATTTAATCTCAATTTCTTCTGCATAGGATAGTTTCTGATACAAAGGAAAAAATGTTTGATTTTATGACTTTTAAGACTTTAAAATGGTTATTTGCAAGATACTTGGCTACAAAGTGTGAATCAAGCTACATTCTATGTTCAAAAATCATTTATGCTTAAAAAATAATTTCATGTAAAGTGCACGATTTTAAAAAAACAATTGATTTTAACATATTCAGCCATGCACTAACTCATCATCCTGCACATGTTCTAATATTCAGTTCAAAAGCTTTTACACAACACTATTTTTATTAATGTTGAGTTGTCAGATTGTTGGCATGTGGACAAGAAAATCTAAAGAAGAAATTGGCATGTGACCTTTACGGAATCAACAAATTATATGTGAAGACATCGAACATTAGCGGCATCAGTCGTGAAATAAGATGTATCATAGCTTAATTGATGGCTGTGATTTAAATATGAAACTGTTGCAAATCAATCTACAATGTAATGAGTAAGTTATTAATAGAAGGAATTGATATTATTAGAAGTGTAGCTATTAGCTATTGCTCATGCATTCATTCTATTTATTTTTATATTAATCGAATATTTACTATTTAGGTAATACAAGTTGTCATTTATCTTCACACGGATGTCATTTTTTGAGTATTGTGGATTTTAAGTTCGCTGCTATTGAAATTCAAGTGACTAAGTTGCAGTCCAGCATCTTTACATTAATGACTATAAATAATCAAACGTGTGATAAAAGCCATTTATTTTAACTCGCACTTAATAATTTTCCATCCTTAATGAACAATTTTATCGACCATTATTTTCTTAATAACACTAATCAATCTAATCTCATGCATGACTTGAGTTACCTCTGTGGAACATTGTCTGAAAAATTAGTTTAAATTTCATCACAGCAAAGTCAGAATGACGATCATTTTTGCATTATCAATTTGTGTTTAGGTTAATTGTCCAATTTGCTTCTCACATCGTTTACCTTTATTGCATTTTTGATTAATATAATACGTACTACATTTAAAAAGTCGTGCTGCTTGTGGCTTAGTGCTGTTGCTACTATGAATATAATTATTATGTAATTCTTCTTTATTCCATTAATTTTCTTATATCAGTTCATCATTCTTTTTGGACTTTAATAGCCTAGTCATAATTTTCATTTCATTGGATTACGGTGTCTATCTTTCACTTCAATATTTGCAGGCATCGGAGGTATTAAAGACTAGTTTTGTGATATTTTGGAAGAGGCTTTTTGAAAAGGAAAATTATGCTGAATTATGCAATTTGTTAGATATCTTTTAATGGCGTTTATGATGACTTTAGGAACATTTTAAAGTTTTTTTGTATTTTATTGAAGTAAGGAGGACATTAAGATGTATTTTTAAGGATGACTGGCTATGCTGTTTTATATCAATCGTGTTAATTTTCTCTAAAGCGTAAAAATATCAAGCAAGGTAGCTCAATTTGCATCCAAAATATCCTTCAGATTCTTTGATTACCTTCAGAACTTTATAAGCTTACCTTTCCAATCTCCTTCTTTAGTAAGCATATTAATGTCATCATTAACTTCCACTCTTTGTCATCCATTAAGTAATCGCTTAAAAAAATAATTGACTGATGTCTCGAAGCAAGAACAATCAAGGATTGCTGAAAGATTGAAATTTTATGCTTATTAAGAAACTAAAGACTTTTGGAACGCACATCGTATGATCTGCAAGTCGAGCATTCTTGATATAGGTCAATTCTTGACATTTCTGTTTAATTTGCATTAAGTAGAAATAATTATTGGATTGGAACAAATGTCAATTATGAATGTTGATATGCCTCGGGAACTAAAATAATTAAAGTGCTTTTTTTTCAATTTAATAAAATTGCTTTACGAACCTTTTTTCATCAGCTTAAGGTATGTGCGCTTGTTTATTTTTATTTGAGATTGAGCAAACAAAATCAGCTTTTATGTTAAGCATGCAAGACTTTCTACAGTTTCGGAGATAATATTCAGCTAATAGCTTTGATCTTAGATATGCCGATCAAAAAGCTAATGCTCGTTCAAGTTCTCAATCGTCTCCAGACAGACTTACCAAGAAGCAAAAATTTCTTAATTTCTATATTAAGTTTTTGTCCACATAAAGTTCATCTGTGTTAAATCAACACGATTTTAACGATCACCAAAAAATTAGAGCATGAGCAGGAAGCAATAAAGTTAAACTTGAATCCCAAACCCAAATGAATGCTGAAAAATCCATTTTTGACAGATTTTACCAAGTAATTAGATCCATGCAGATCTGATTCTCAAAAGTTGAATTAATTTCTCAACCTCACAATGCTTGATCAAGCGGTGAATTGTGACCATCAACTGCATTAAAAACGTTTTAATGATTTTTGGAACTGACAGTATTTATTTAATTATAAACTGGATGTACTCACAATAAAAAAAAAATCACAGCATCAAAGCGAGTTAGAGAATGAGTCAGGAAATCAGATCAGCACGTACAGTCATGAATATTCATAGCCTAAACATCTTATTAACTTCCATTGAGAATTTGATATTTAAACTCCAATTATTTCTATAGAAATAAGTAAATTCAGAATTCTCATTCAGTTTAACGTAAAAACAATAATTCATGAAAATTATGGACGATCCTGTTATGAGAATCTATCTAAAAACCCAGACTTAATTTAAACAAACTGAAAATTGAATTAATTTCGACAATTATACTATTTTTTTTTTCAATTAATTCTAGATGCCATATTTACACCTTATTTAATTAAACGCGACATATTCATAATGAAGTGATGATGATGAGTCAAAACACTTAGCTAATAAACAATGAACAGTGCATCCGCTAGCGATAAATTATGATCTTTAATTTGTCATTACGATGTGAATTGAAAGAGAGAATAATGTTGGTGCTGGTTGAAAATTGCAGTGCTGGTTGAGGAGATTAAAGTGTGAATGATTTGACTTAATACTCAAATTATGTGAAAAGATTGATTTTTAAAGTTGCTATAATTTTGCTATAAAATTCAAATTTTGAAAAAACAGTTAAATTTTCAATAAGCGAAAGCTTCCCAAGAAACAGCACACAATAAATTAATGAAGCAAACACGTTAAAAAATGTTGATTATTGTTTCCATTTGCATAGCATCCCATTTGCACTATTTGGTAATAATGTAATGATCAGTTATACAAATTACATATCATAGTGATGTTATTTATTACTATGCGCATGCAATAAAAATATTTTGTCATAGATATATCTCATTACTTTTTGTGAGGGTGCGACGAAGAATAATTGAAGCTTTATACAGGCTTGGGAAAATAAAATTTATTCAAAGTCAATTTCTTTAATTGTTAGGTGCATTTTTTGAGATCTGAGAAATTCTTCTTCGTCCGACCTTGATTTTATTGGAACTGCAGGCAATTTGGATGTGTTCAAATGTTGGCATTTTATTTTGAGAAGATCAGAGTCTTTGTGATTGTTAAAGAAGGAGAAGAGAAAGAGCAAAATATCAATTAATGTTGGAATTTTAATATCCATTTAAATGGTCGTAATGGATGCAAATAATTGGTTGAGATTTCATTGAATCAAGATCATTTATGAATTTCCTCGGAATTATTAAATATTAAAACTTGAAATCGTCTTAAATTTTTATTAAAAATTGATTTTATTTATCATCATTTAAAGTTCTAGATAAGAATCTTCAAAGTTATTAATCTAGAGTCATATCGACATCAATAAATAAAACTAATGTCCGACATCCAAAAACTGTTCAATATAATGTTTGTCTCCTGCAGATTTCTGACCATGAAGCCAATTAATCTTACACAATAGCTTCTTCTCTTATTTTAAAAATTGTTCTGCCAATAAAAGCAATTAATTAAGTGTCAATTTACAAGTTTTCCGAACCCAACATCGATTTATATTCCACAAAATGTCGCAGTAATGGAAATAAACAAATTTCTTCCGTTTGAACAAAGAAAACAGACAGGCACATTGCACGAATATTTGCATCACAAAGAGATATTCAAATATCACGGCCGTACTTTATTCCACGTGAAAATTCAATTAATTTTTTTTTATCTCTCTTTCATCACCCAGAACCAGCTACTGCATGTGCATCAATTTGTGATCTCCTGCTGATATTCGCTCAGCATTTATCATCTTTTTCAAATATTTCTTTAACAAATAAAAAATGATGAATGAATAAAAGTTATGACTTTATTGTGAGAAATCAAAATATTTTTCGCAGGCAAAAGCGACGTAGAATTTGACATTGAGCGCTCCCTGCATGACGATGATCAGCATAAGAAGAAATAAATTTGTTTGTTAAAAGTTTTAAGTTAATTTCATCAAATCATGCTTTCAAATTTGGTGTAAAGGCTAAGAATGGGGATTTTTTAAAATCGTTGATGATTGCTGATGTAGAAAATATTCAGCTCAGGGGTAAAATGATGAAACTTCTGATATTAATTGATTCTGAGATTTTAAAATTTGAATCTAGTGTTGAAATCAAGTTTAACATCTTGTATGACTTGACATTAAATCTTCTATTTTATCGCTACCTGATCACCGCAATAAAATCATAATTATTGATTCTTTTGAGTACTGGTTTTAATTAATAAAATGTTGGATTAAATATTTGTAGTAACTCTGTGATTGAATAATACATTGTTGTTGATAATTCGATAATTTATTGGATGAACAAATGAAATTAGAATTTAACTGGATCTTACTCTGATTAGTTCAATAGCTTTGAAAAGTTGTTCTTAGAATTTATTAATCAATAGCTCCACCCTAGCCACCCTAGCCTCCCTCATAATTTATTCATTTATCAAACCTTTCAAAAAAATATTTTACATATTAATTGAAAAATTGTTTAATGCCAAACATAACATCCATCATGAACTTTGCGTAAGTCGTAGGAATCATGTCGCTTAATTTCTCATAAAACATATTAATTTGCATATGAATGAGATGAAGGGAAGGATGAAATCACGATTAATATGTGAAGTATGAATAAAAGGAATTTTTATTGTGTTTTAATTCGGAACTAATTGAGAAATAAAAGGTGATGATGCTAGGTTGATGTGTAGTAAGTTTATGGAAACTATGTTTGATTGGAATTTATGGGCTTTAAGTATTTGAAGATTGGAATTTTTTGTGAAATATTTTAAATGTTTAAAAAAATTTGATTCACTTTAAGGAAAAAAAATCGTGTGAATCATCAAATATGGAACCGAAAGAGGCATTAAAAAACCTCAATTTACCCTTAGTTATTTAAGTAAATTTTAAAGCAATGAAATTGATGCTCATGACCCGAAAAATTAAATCGTGCCCTATCTAACCGATCACAGGCTTCTCATGCAACTTCACTCCACTTATATCACATAAAATTATTCCGAGACAAGATTTTTCATTTCTAAATGACCATGATTCACATTAACTTGTCAGAAGTTAATTACATAAAGTAAATTTATTATTTATTGACTTCGGTATGTCCATATTTTCTATATAAAAATTAAATTGAACATATTAAACTCATGTACAGCACCAGAAGATGATCAACATTCCTTATTGAGTAAAACAAAAAATTTTCAATTTAAAAATAAGCCATCAAAAAATGCTCGTGCTGACATTTATTATGTACTAGGCAATGTTTTTGGTGAAAATTATAAAATCTGTGTAATAAGTGACTGAATTACTTGTTTAATTGGATGTCAAGTTCATGAATCTCGCCGTCACCTCATCTTCTCTCTTATTTCTCGCGGCAATTTTTTCGGAAATAATCGCTGACTCATTACAAGAAAATTGAGTCTCGATTACAAAATTTTTTCAAGCATGAAGTAACTGACCTACGCAAATAATTATAAAAGTAATAGGATACAAATTTATTATTGTCTCGAAAAGGAAGATCAAATTTCAAAATTAGTCAGCTATTAGAGGCATAGGAATTAGATGTTTATAGCTGCTAAGTGATTGTTGAAAAATCAGTAATAAAGCTGTAAACTTGCATTTAATTGATCGGTACTATATAAAAAAATCAAGTTATGACTCTGCAAAAAAGTTATTTGTAGACTAGTTTGAGGAGAAATTCTGCAATCAGTTCCTAAAACCATACATTTTATCCATCTATAATCCCAGCCTCACGCCAAAAATCCACACGAACAAGAAGAAAATAAATAAAATGATTGATTTTTTATTGACTCA